GAACAAAGTTATGTTTGTGTTCTACTCGCTTACCTAACCCTAATGAACAAATCAAACATGAGCCACTTAGCAAGCCGAACACGAGTTATTCATAAACAACGAAGATTATGTATACACAGTTAGAAAAAAATAAGCCTTTCATGTGACTATGGGAAGTTCTTACAATAAAGCTAATAAAACAAGCATCGCAATTTTCATACGGTAAGCCTTACATGCAAATAGAGAAGACTTCTATACATCAATTTTTTAGGTGAATTGCACCCTTCTTCTTGATTTTGGGCATTAATAGAGGAATATTAATAAATGCATTAACTTCTCCCCATCCTTTATGGAACATATTTATAACATTAGGTTGTAGGTTCAAATAGTGTTAACCAATATATTTTTGTAGGATTTCAAACTCTAGAATTTCCCACATTAATTTAAGCTCCAAATCATTGCCCTTGCTTCTTCTAATTACTCTTATAACTTGTTGATTTCATCTAATAAATTTTTTTTACATTTAACATTGTGGGTACTTGATATACATAATAAGATCCAACAAAGGGGTTTGTAGAGACTTATATTGGATTTACAAATGCATGATAAAATATATTTTTAGGACAAAAAACTCTATAGTATATAAAAGTGTAGATAAACATTTTTTATGAATCATTACGAGTTTATATATTCTTTTGATTGATTTAATGGTAGATGATATATTGTTTCTAGTTTTCCTCAATGGATATGGCATTTAGGCCACAAAAATGATCGATTGACTAGGTCATATGAGGCATTATGTCTATATTCGTCTGTTCAAAATGTTATCTCAATCTCTTTGTCTCCTTTAATAAATAACAAGAAAATATGTATAAAGTTAGAGAAAAATAGAAATGCACTCTAAAGAAGGATCCTAAAACAAGCTTTTAAATATATAAAATATATTACATCCCAATTCAATATACCAAGGAATATTACTAAATGCTCTATATTTGGATGGGTGGGGTTAAGCATTCTATGAGCGATCGACAACTCCCCATGTTATGGGTATTTAGATTATTTAATATGAGACATTAAAATTGAAATTTGTATAGGAGTACTGCAACAAGGCATGGAGAACATAAAAGTACTAGAGTTAGCATATAAGGTAATTGGGAAAAAGAAGTGATAAAGTTAAAGAATATTACCATGAAGATTCCATTGATGCTTTCTACTAAAGCACCTCACTTGCTTCCTTAGTCATAAGAAGAAATATGAGGAGAACGAATATGGTAACCACAAAATAGAATGGATAGATATATATGAGAACTAAATGTGAAGTTATGGAATTTTGAAAATTGAAAAAATTCATGGGTGTAGTACATAGGATAATAATAGTCCTTAATATTAAGTGGTGAAAATTTTGTCAACTGCTGAATTTGAAAGATGATCCCCTCAAATAATTAGGTTATTGGTGGATGACCACATATTATTAAATGCTTTAAAAAAAAGTAATAACCAAGTTATCATGAGCTTCATGATATTTGCAATAATAGTTATTTTGTGTGTGTGTGTGTGTGTGTGTGTGTGTGGGGGGGGGGGGGGGGGGGAAACCCCCCTCTTGGGTAAAATCTAGGAATGTCACCAAAATATCAGATTGGAAGCTCATCGTTCTTTTCATTCTCAAACTTTGATGGAGATGCCAAATTTCAAAAATATGTAATATTCATAAGTGCTCTTAGTGTTGTAGGATATAAACTTTTAGTGATATCTTTAATGCCTACAAGAAAGCTTTATTTGTCATGTGTTTCAAAGTGCAACATTGATTGGTGATTTGTTAGATTCTAAAGCTTAAGCATCATAGTTTAAGGGGGAAAATGTGATTAAAGATTTAGGATGTTGGATGAAAAATAACGGAAAATAAAGAGGAAACTTCGTAAGACGTGTAAATAAATCATGTTTATGTTTCACAGTCTACTATAGTGCTATGTTGTACAAATACATCATTTGGTGAGAGAGAGAGAGAGAGAGAGAGAGGATAATCACTTTAGAAATATAAAAATGTAATGAGATTAGCACATTCCATATTCATTAATACATTTTTATTTCTTTGAGATGTATGGAGGAGCTCTCTCATGGATCTTTGGATGATTATAACATAAATTGGGTGAAATTATTGAGTGCTTGTCCCCACAAGGCTTTGGGAGTTTAAAGATGCTCTTAGAGGTGCCACATAGAGATGAATATTAACATTAATCATTAAGTAGGTTTAACAAAAATTATATCTTAACATATATCATATAAATTAACAATTATTTATATATTTAAATTTAAATTTTTATTTAATTTATAATTCATAAACCTATATTATTATATAATTATTACATCATTATTATTATGATATTTAATATTTATTACCTCATCATTATTATCCAAACAAATTTCCTCTAAGGAAGAGAATGGGAATGGAGATAGACCTTCCTGGCGAATTCCCAGCACTTTCTCGTCGCTACCTTTCAACCAAAGCCACGCACGTTTTGGAACGGATCTCCATATTGCCCGCCAACCACTCCACAATCCTCTTTGGACAAACAAAAAAGAGAATCCATCGGAGGAATCCAAAGAAAAGAGAAAGAAATATAATCCCCATACGACCAAAACTAGCATCATTCACATTACGCCAACCCTATAGAAAAATAAAATAAAATAAAAATTCCCCTCCTCACCTTTGCTTGTCCCGTTGTCCTCTCTCTTTTTTGTCTTCTTATTTCTAGTGATAATGATCTGTGTGAAACTTACTCAACATGTCTTTGAATTTTAATCTACATATAAAAATCAAATAGATTTATGTCCCATCTTTGCCTCATGGTTTAATAGTTTTGATGATTTTGGGATGGATTAATAAAAATTATTATTATTATCATTTTTTAAATTTAAGATTTTGAATTGATTTTTTGAAACTAAAAAAAATTCTTATAAGATTCTTGTAAATTTTATGTCATATGATTATTTTCAATAAAATTAAAAAAAATCACAATTTTAAATTTATTTTATTTTTAAAAGTGAGATATGATTTGAGGTTGAATAACAATTATTCTTACACTCGTAAAGCTTACAAATGTTTCATGTAACATATTAGATATAATTATAAACATTTTTACACTTGTAAAAGTCAATGTAACTCTATTAAATAATACTATGATTTCATTGGAGAAAAATTTCTTTCCTATTTGCAAAGTTATTGTAGAGAAAGTAATTTTATAAAGTTGTAATAGAAAACAACTTTTTTGTATAAATATTTTTTAAAAGTAATGAAAAAATAGTGAGTAAAGCAATACGAAAGATATTCCAAACAAAACCTATATATCAGGTTTAACATTAATATAAACATCAAGATATACAACCAGGGGTAGGCCTAATAAGAGTTTAAGGTGGGTAGGTTTTTTGCTTAATAGAATAAACATTTAATTATTTCGCCCTTCAATAACTAATTTTTTTATTTCTATGAAAAAAAAAACCTTTTATATTTTACTTATAAGCTGGTTATGCACGTTCTAATTCTATTTTATCCCTCTTAAAAAAAACTTGAATGTAATAGTTTGTCTTGACAAATGCTGCTGACCACATACAATCTCGAAGAAATATTAAAATTACATAATTTCTTCCTTCAAAATTCTAATAATTCTTGCAAGCTACACAACATTATAGAACTGGCTTTTCAGTAGAATTCAAATTGTCCAAATATGAGAGAATGAGTTGAAAGGCTATAAATAAATATGAGAGAATGAATTACTATTGAAACTTTTGGACTACATAGATTTTGCTCAAATAACATTTGTCTATTTATATTCAGGGTATGATTCATGCAAAGACTTGGTTCAAGAACTTTAGTGAATATATCAATTTCTAAGTTTATTCAATTAAAATTTATGTTCTTACATAAATAATATTCTCATTCTACCCTTATAATATCCTAAATTCTAAAAAAATATTTATTTTTCTTTGAGGTACTTGTACAACAATAATAATACTATGTGGGATCGGCTACATGAATCATTTTTCTCCATTATGATCTATTGAGAGTTAAATTTTCATTTAAAGGTAATAAAAAAGTTGATATTAATACTTTCTAATTAAGTCTTTTTTATGTCTACATGTACCTTTCTTAACATAAATCAAATCTAATACATCTACTATCTTAACTGGTTCATCAAAAGACTGATGTTTTATGTGACCAAACCATCTAAAAAGACTCTTTTAAATCTTATATTCCTCACATATAAATATTCATTTCATATTTTTTTTTCTCTTAAGAGTAAAGTTACTCATTCATTTGAGCATCCTCATCTCTGTAACACTTAACTTAATTTTATGCTTCTCTTCTCAAGGCCAATATTATGCGACCTAAAATATTGCAGATCTAACCACTATCTTGTAGAACTTTTACCTAAGTTTGAGGAGAGATTATTAAGTACGGAGATCAGTTCAGTTTTGTCTCTGTGAACAGTAAAAGCATAGTTACTGTTCAACTCTGCTTTTTTATTGTTCATAAAGACAAAACCGAACGGTTCTTTGTGTCTAATCTCCGCACTTAATAATCTCAAATTTGAGATGTACTTCTATCACACAATAGATCTGAAGCATTTCTCCACTTCAACTAACCAACTTGAATTTTACTAATAAAATTATCCTCTATTTCACCATCACTTTGAGCAATAAGGAAAAAAATATCTAAAATATATACTCTTTTTAATGGCTTGATCATCTCAAGTTACAATCCTCCCATTAGATCTATTACTAATAAATAAATAAATAAATATTTATGTCACTTAATTAAAAAATAATAATAATTTTAAGGCATATTTAATTAAAATTTATGTCAAATATTTCAAAAGAAGAATTTTCCCCTTAAAAATAAAAATAAACTTAGGACAAAATCCCCTCGTTTTTTTAAGACCTGATTTTGTTTGTTCTAAATTTTTTGAAATAGTTATCATTTTACCGTAGCTTTTCTCTCTATTTATATTCCCCTCTCACCTCTCAATTTACATTTCCCCTCGGCTTCTTCTCCTGTTCCTTCCGCCATTCTTTCGAATCAAAGAAACAAGAGAATTTACTGAACCAGAGAAAATAAAAGAGAAGAAAGAGACAGAGCGAGAGTCAGAGAAATGAAAGGAGAGGTTGCAGACGATCTCCTGAACCTAAGCCTAAGCATAGGCCAAACCAAAAAGAGAAAGAGAACAGATCAGAATCTCGCCATAGCTGCCGTTCTTCACGCCCGCAACCGCATGCTCCATCAAACCACCCCAATCTTACTAGACCACAACATTGATGGCCTCCATCTCATCCGCCTCCTCCTCCTTTCCGCTTCAGCTGCCGACCTCCACGACTTCTCCACCGCCGTCGAATCCCTCCTCCACCTCTATCCCCAGCTCTCCCTCTCCGGCGATCCCATCCAACGCGTCGCCGCTTACTTCTCCGACGCCATCCTCGCAAATCTCATCGCTCCTTCCTCCCCCTTATACTCTTCTCTCTCCCCTTCCCCTACTCCCCACGAAGAATTCTCCGCCTTCACCTCACTCTACCTCGCCTCTCCATACCTCCAATTCGCTCACTTCACCGCCAATCAAGCCATTATCGACGCCTTCGAAGCTGAGGAGCATTGGAATGGAGGATCTCTCCATGTCATCGATTTCGACGTCTCCTATGGCTTCCAGTGGCCTTCTCTAATCCAGTCTTTAGCTGACAAAGCGAAGAAAGATAAGCCCTTTAAGCTTCGAATCACAGGATTTGGCCGGAGCGAAGCAGAGTTGAAAGAAACAGAGGCGAGGCTATCTGGTTTTTCTAAAGGATGTCGTAACCTCTACTTCGAATTCGAGGGGAAGAACATGGAGATAAATAGTTTCAAAGATCTCAACCTGTGGGAAAATTCGACCGTTGTAGTAAACTCAGTCTTCAATCTCCACATGCTGAAAAGCTCCACGCTTCAATTAATACAATCTTTGAATCCTTCTCTGCTAATTCTGGTGGAGAAAGAAGGTCGCAGGACGGAAACAACAAGCAAAAGCTTCCTCTCACGATTCATGGAGTCACTGCAATACTTTGCGGCGATGTTCGATTCTTTGGATGATTGCCTTCCTGCTGGCAGCAAAGAGAGGTTGAGGATTGAGAAGAACTACTTGGGGAGAGAGATTAGGAATGCCGTGGATATGAAGCAAGAAGAAGATGAGAAAGAGGTTTTGATCAAGTATGGGACACTCGCGACATGGAAAGAAGCGATGGAAAGAAGCGGCTTTGAAGGAGTCATGATGAGCTCCAGGTCTGTAAGCCAAGCAAAGCTTTTGTTGAAGATAAAGAGCCATTGCTCCACCATGGAAGAGCATGGAGGAGGAGCTGGGTTTCGAATTTCTGAGAGAGATGATGGAAGGGCCATATCGTTGGGCTGGCATGACAGGTATTTGATTACTGCAACTGCTTGGAGATGTAATTCTCGATGATTTTGATATTGTTGGAGGACTTGTACTGTAGAGCTGTGTTACATAGTTTTTTTTTTTTAATTTGATGCGGTTAACAAAAACTGTTAAGTTGTTAGTGTAATGGGTTTTGATTTGAAAAGATTTGGATGTAAATCTATGTTTTTGTTCATGATTCTTAGGTTTGTTAATTATATTTGTACCCCCCTAAAAATAAGAGAAATTATTGGCAACTTTGAACATTGTTGGCATATTAAAAAAAGATTGTGTTATTTAATGATAATTAATTAGTTTAAAAATATTATATGTTATTTAGTTTATTTGTTATATTTATGTACTTTAAAATTATTTATATTACTAAAGTTTTTGTATGAGGAAAATTTTAAATGAATAGCTAAATGGATATATAGTTAAAAATCAATTTTATTTTTTTTTTATTAATTTTGACCATTAAAATAATGAACAAGAATATATTGAAATTTTAGTTTAATTTTTGGATTATTTGATAATAAAAATATTGAATAATTTGTTACTTGTAGATTGTATATCTTATTTTAATATTCATAAAACAATAGAAATAATTAAAAAAATAAAAAAATTAAAACAATAGAAATAATGTCAAGTAAATTTCTTTCAATTTTGGTATAGTATTATCAGTATCTCTATTATTTGTAATAAGATTATATGTTTCAATCGTATTATATTTAATTTATATATTTAGTTATTCAGTAAATTAGTAAATTAAAAAAAAAAACATAAGGATATTACACCAATATGAGCTTCAAAATTTTCGGATTTATGTTAAGATTAGTGTTATATGTGATATCTATATAAAAGCTGTATATTAGAGCTGCAAACAAGTAGTGCCAAATCAAGTAGGTATTTGTTTATATTTGGGCTCGTTTATTATAAGCTTGTTTAAGTTCTATTTGAGCTCAATTTGAGCTTTTTCTATTTATGTTCAAGGTTGGTTCATTTAAAATGATAGAGATTCATGTTTGGTTTATGATCGATTTATATTCGATTCGGTTCATGCTTAATTATCGAGCTTTTAACAATTAATTAAAGCTTAATAAAAGTTTAAATTCTAGTAGAAATTACTCAGCTTGAGTTAATAAGTATGATAAAATCTTAATTTTACATTTAAATTTCTTAATCTCAGCCCTTTCTGAAAAAAAAATTGCATTCATTTAATCATTTTCTTATCTTCTTCATCAAGTAATTTACTACAGGAAAAATGCAAATTTTTGACAAAAAATTTCCGATAGAAAATTTGGCAGATTTTCCTGCTGATTTCTGATGAAATATTTCCAACAGATTTTTAACGGATATTGAAATTTTCTGAGAAATAATCATATATTTATAATAAAAAATAATAAATAAAATTAAGTAATTTAATTTGACTAAATTAACTACTAGTTTTAATAATTATTGGCAGTGGGGGATCCACAAGGAGCAAGACAATGCAACGAGCAAAGGGCAACTTGCACGGGTTCGACGTGCAGGCTATATGACGGACTTATGCGGCGGGTTCAACAGTTGGGTTGCAGGCGATTTGGCTGGCTTTTGCGGGCTTCGGGCTGGTTGGGCATGGTTGGTAGAAATACAAAATGAATTTTGTTGAGTTTTTTACTTTTCCAATGGCAATTTTCGTCATAATTTTATTGAAATTTTTTCCCGCGGATTTTTCTCGAGGAAATTCCTCGGAAATCATCATTTCCTTCGGAAAGCACTTTCTGACGTAAAAGTCTGCAGGAAATGAGTGATTTTTCTGTAGTGATTTAATTTGCATTTCATTTTTATTGAATGAATATATAACATAGAAGGAATCCTTCAAAGTTAAAAGCTTAGGTTCAATATAACAGATGTCATTTCATACTGTTTTTATATACAAAGAAGTATGGGTGAAGAGATCAATGGTTGCTCGGAATTTACTATAGGCTTATAACAAAGACAATTATATATTACTCGTGAAGGAATATTCGGAAGTATTTTAGCTACGAAAGATTACTCACGTGCGAAGAGGCCCCATTCACACATATTCTATGGCTGTTTGAAATTTGAATTGTCAGCAAGCAATAAAAGTCTAAGTCCACAGCTTATAGATGTTTTTTTATTTTATTTTATTTTCTTATCTGAATCAGTCCAACAACATACCTTGAAAAAATCAAAGAAACACTAAAAGATTTGAGTCACAAAGTGATTGGTCAATTGAAGTCAATCTTACTTAATACATCAATTTTGAAGATAATTTTTGAAGTTTTTAGTGTTTTCTATGAAGTTAAATGATATAACATAGAGCCAATCATTTAATTCTCAAATCGAAGTTCAATTCTTTTGATAGGTTAGATCTTACGATAGACTGAATCTTAGCTTAAGGTTAGTTATCTTAGTTGACCTAATTGGCGGTGTAAATATTCTCTTTCTTTTTGTTCAATCAAATATACTTGCATTGTAATTGATTAATAGATATGTTTGATTTGGATTGTGGACCCAGATTCGAATTATGGTTAACCCAACCCTACCCCTAAATCGTGCACTTAATTGGTGATTTTGAATGAAATGACTAAGTCAATTAGTCAAATCTCTTTCATTGGGTTTTGATCATCAAAGCATGGATGAGTTGACCCTAGGTAACCATTAGATCAAGCTAGAACCTCTTGAACTCTAGTTTAGCTCAATATGATCTAAGTAGAACATATAGACCTATAATCTTAGACTAAATTATTGTTTTCCAATCATTCCAATAGGATTTACTAAGTTGGAAATGACCTAATGGAGCTACTTAGCCTTTTGCTGCAGCTTTACTGGACCTTTTGACCAATTTAGCTGAAATTGACATATTTAACCAAAAAGAACATACACCATCAAATTGGTCAAATTGATTGAACATAATGGAACAAATTAATTTAAATTGGTAAACCATAGATGAATTAGCCCAAATTATATCTTGAATAGGTAAATTGATTCACTTAGCCAAAGTAAACAAAATTTGACCAATTAGGCTAATATTGACAAATTTAATCAAATTCAGATAACTTAACCATTGAAAACCATTTCGATTAATAAACTAAAATTGAATTAAGCCTAATTGTCTTTTTATAAGCCCAATTTGACCAATTAGTTGGTTGACCCAAATTAACCTACTTTAATCTATTAGGCAAAATTGGTCTGTTTGATCAAAGCACTCCTCAACAAACCCTCCCAATTAACATGAGTGGACCCGCCAAATATATAATTGACTTAGTTGCCCCTTGGTTAGGAAAATTGATCTCAAGTAACCCAACCTAGCCCAATTAAACCCTTAAGAGATCTACTTGACCATTTTGAGACACTTGATCCAATTTATTCAAATTAATTAGACAAACCATCTTGTGTAATTTACCATAGTATCATTGAGTCAAATTAATCATTAATTTCATTTGATTAACTTAATAGTCCAAATTGACCCAAAATAAACTTTACACTTATCCTATTTGAACCCATTAAGTCAAATTTATATCAACTTGGCTCAAATGGTTCAAATTCCTAGGTGTTTAGTGTTCAATTGATCCCCTAAGATCCCTTAGCCCAAATTTTCTCAACTCTTAACCCTAATTTGGCCAACATTTACCTGTTTAGAACTCTTTGAGCTAAATGGTCCCTAACCTTCAAATGGATCAAAACCATGCATTTTGCCCATATATCATTTAGGGGATGTGTTTGACTAATCCAAAACAAAGCCAATATACTTGGCCATTAGGTGTATCCCATTTAGTTGAATTAGGTCAAGTTAACCTACTTGGATCCATATGAATCCAACTGAGCCAACCAACCCTAAAGGAAAATTTGGGTAATCCAATGCATTCCATTAAATTCTTACAAATCTTAGTTAACTCACATAGCAATCATAGAGCCTAATCATAGTTTGGTGCGACTAACATTATCTTAATGGGTATTTGGCCATACTCAAAGGAGATTAAGCTTTTTCTAGGCTCTCCCTTCTAATCTTGTCTCCAAATGATCACAACCATTCAATTAGAGGCTCATGTAAGTTGCCACAACCTAATCATCATGGTTAATCATGTCTTGGGTTTGGTCAAGTGAGGCTAAGGAAAGCAAACTAATCCCAAGCTCTTGCATACATTCCATTATTTTTTCTATACATAAAAGAAACCCATAGTTCCTAGGAACATTCTAGTGCTTCCAATGAGTTCCAACTACCAAAGAGCACAAAATTGCCACTAGGGCTTAGCTAGCCTACTAATCCAAATCATCCAAACAGAACCCAAACCTCTCCTCACTTCTTGAAGGCAAGGGATCTAATTCACTAGCAAATTTTGTCTATGCATGTTTTTATTACAAACCTTAGCAAAACCTTAAGCATGTGGATATTGATCAAATTGCATGTGCCATAGCAAAGCAAGTGAAATATATCCATATGTAGCCTAAGAAACCCTTTATCTCACCCTAATGAGAATTTTCATTTTTTTTCTACTGAAGAGAGAGAGAGAGGGTAATTAACTTCCCATGGGTTGCATTCGGTCAGGCTACCATTCATTGGATAGAATTGGAATAGTATTTATATATCCTAATAAGATTTTTGCTATGATATTATATCTTTATACAATCAAGTGCAATTTGGTACTAAGGTAGAGCTTAGCATGTAGATCTAAAGAAAAAATATTCTAATAAATTTGCACGCTATTTTCTATTTTAAAATTTTAAAAAGTCATTATTTTAATCAATTAAATGTATAATGGATTTATAAAACTGTCAAATTCCGAGCATATGCTAACAACATTAAATTAATATTCACAAAATTTTCTTATACTCTAATGAGCCTTTTATTATCTATTTGTGATGACTCAAGAGTTAATTTCAATGTTTAAAATTCAAATAGGCATGTTTTGAAAATTACCAAAGCACCCTTTACTCTTACATAAATTTATAGGATTCTTTACACGAGATACATGAATTATTTGAATATTCACTAATTTTTCTTGATTTGTTTAAGTTTTAATCTACAATTTATACTTGTAATATAAAGCATTTTAATCATTAAATTAAAAAAAATCTTAAATAGACCTAAAAATTAACTAAAATAGATATTGGATCACACAAATTGATTTTGCTAAAATGTTCATTAATAGGCGGGTTGTGCATGCTAGAAATGAGTAGTTTCACACCCTAAAGTGAATGTTCATTGCCTAGCAAGGAGTATTATGGGTAGCATTCTTCTTATTTTGAGTATAATTGTTAT